CCAGGAGCCCGCAGGAGGCGATGGAGCTGGGCTTGGTTGGGCTCAGTGACAGGGAAGGCCTTGTACCACCTCCAGGATCTTTGTCTGACTTCTCAACCCCGAGCGTGCTCCGTGTTGGGTACAAAGTCACGAGTGCTAATTGTCCTGGGCCGTGGCCAGCTTCCTGCTGAGCTGGCTGTGTGCAGACCTGCAGCCTGCGGGGCGGGGGAGGGGGGAGCCAGCGAGGGCGGCCCAGAGCAGATCTGCCTTCTGCACTGGGCCCTATGACAAGGTGATCGTTTATCCCACGGGTGGGCATCAGACAGGGACTCACCCACGGCCCACACCTGCCCGCCTCTGTGGTTGCTGGCCTGGGGCCACCCCAGCCCCAGGGGTCTGGGACACGGAAAGGACTGGCGGGGCAGGAGGCTGGATGGCATGGCAGGCAGCTCTGCTCTCTCAGGCTCCGCCCCTCTCCCATAGCATTCGCTTCACACACCCACTCCCTGATGCCAGAACTGCTCCTGAGATGCACACCCAGCCCCATTGCTTTTGCTCTAAATCCTCCCATGGCTCCCTGTTGGCCCCAGGGCCAAGCTCAGGCCCTTAAGAAGGTGCAGGGTCTTTTACCAGGAAGCCCATCCCTGCTCGCTCTGCAGGCTCCGTCACCCACCCGTCCTCCCCTGAGGTGCTCTTGTATAAAGGCCTCTCATCCTGGCCTTTGAGTCCCTTCCCTGGAATGCTTCCCCACCTCCCCCTGTGACCCATGTCGTCCTTTCCTGGGAGCCTCCCGGCCAGCCCTTCACACTTCGGGCTACTCCTCTGCAATCCTGGGCATTCAGCTCGTTTTCGTTTACCCTCCTGCCTCCCCTTCACCTCCCGGGGGGATCCTCATCACAGGCATCTCTGTCTGCAGCTGGGGGCCTCGGCAGGGGTTGGTGACTGTGTGAATGAGTGGGGTGAATAAGCTGGGGCCAGTGAGTGGGTGAGGGGACAGACCAGTAAGTCACAGCTCAGCCTGACTAAGAACATGCCATAGCCGAGAGCCAGAAGCCGGCACAGAGCCCCTCGGGAGGGAGTGAGACTCCCATCACAGGAGGCATGCAGGCAGACCGGTCAGGAATCCCTGGAGTTGGTGTTAAAACTGAGATTCCCCGCCTGACCGCAGGTCTCCTGAGACAGACCCTCAGGGCACCCAGGAGCATTTCTTACAAACTGCCCTGGACACGGGCCAGATGAGCCCCAGATCCCCTTTACACCTGAGATTCTACTTTGGGATGTCCTTGGCCATCCTCGACACCTGGGTTTCAGCCAGGCTCACCCTGCCCTTCCTGGGGTCTGCCGTGCCCAGCACCAGCCTTTACCATGTGCTCCTCCCTCACAGCAGGCCCTGCTACCAGGGGAAGGGAAGTCAGCACCTGGAACTTGCAACACACAGGCCCTTGGCAGCTCCAGAGACTCCACACTGGGACAGAGGGCCCTTGTGTGGCCAGGGTCCAGGAAAAGGCTGGTGACAACCTGGTCTTGGAGCTGAGGCAGTTGAGGGACCCGCTGTGCTCCTAATGCCCAAGGAGCCCTCTTCTCCTTGGGTCGCATCTCCCTTTGCCACAGTCTCTTGAGGGCCTTCCTGGTCTGCTCCTGGGCCAAACCGTGTAAGCCGGCACTGAATTGAATCTCTGACCATGTACAGGACCTGGCCTGGGTGCTGGGTGGTGTCCTGGCCATGGGGAAGGAGAAAGGTTTGCTGTGAGTCCTGCCCTCAGAGCAGAGCCCAGCAGAGACTGGGGTGTTGAGAAGCACAGGGGAGCGGCCTGGTAGGGCCACGCACCCTGGAGGGCCACAGACTTATTGGAGTGTAAGGGCCAGATTCCGAAGGGCAGGCCCCCTTCCTGCCCTCCTCTGGCTGCATCACCCCCTAGCCATCCACGAGACACTTCTAAAACATGTGCACATCACCCTCCCGCTCAGGACCCCACCATAGCATCCACTACCCATGGCAGCATTTCCCAAACCGGCTGGCTGTGCAAGCCTTTTCCTGCCTGATGCTGCTCTTCAGACACCTTTGGGGCCAAAGCTCAGACCATCTAATCCTGCCCCCCGTTTTGTACCAGTGCCTGCCCCCTCTGCAGCTTCACGGCTCAGCAACTCCCTCCTTACCCCGGGGCCTGCAGTCCCAGACATACCAGCTCCTTCCTCCAGTCCTTATAGCCTCTTCCTTCCCCTCCTGACTACCCCAAAGTCCCCTTTGAGCCCTGGGCAGCTGCCGTCCTCCCCTCGCCCTGTGTGGTCAGGGCTGCAGTCGTGTAATTCTGTCTCTTGGTTCCCAACACAGAATCTCAGAGTGCGGAGCAGCGGGGGAACCGAGTTCTTCACACGGTCGGCAACCAAGTTCAAGGGTGCCTTGGCCCAGAAGTTCATGTTTGTGGATGGAGACCGGGCAGTGTGCGGCTCCTACAGGTGACTCTCCAGCTTTCAGGGAAGTTGTGGGAGCCAGTCTGGTTCCCAACTGGCTTCTGTCCTTAATGCTAACTTACGACACCCTGGTTATTCCAGTTCATTGATCCCAAGGCTGCTGAGGTGTGCGCAGGGCTGGAGCACACCTGCCTGCTTGTCTGTCTCTGGAGGCAGGCAGAGAAGGGCTTTGTCTGAGGACACTGTTGTTCCAGCTTGGAGATGTCACCGGCCTGGAGGTGGGGTGTGGCCAGGCTGTGCCTCCGCAGCTTATGGGGGTCACTCTGAGAGCTGTCCTCAGGGATGGGGCCAGCTGTGTGGGCACCACCACATGTGGCATGGGGTGGGCATTGCCCATGGTTACATGGGGGTTGGTGGCAGCATAGACACATGGCAGCAGTGGCCGCCACCACGTGCAGCACCCCCCACGGTGTGCAGGGCCTTCCTGAGCTACTTAGTGAATCCTGTACCAGCCTGAGAGAAGCACAGTGCCGTGCCATTTGCAGAGGTGGGAACAGGCTTGGTGCGACCAACTTGCTTGACATCCCAGACTCAGTCTGACCCCACAGCATGCACCTGCTCTCTGCCCCCATTCACTTCTGGATCCCAGGGCCCTGTGGCCACAGTCTGAGGCTCAGCAGCTGCGGGTGCACAGGGGCTGCTGGGAGAAGCAGGGTCGTGTGCCTGACCGGCGCCCCCTCCCTCTGTTGCAGCTTCACGTGGTCGGCCGCGCGGACGGACCGGAATGTGATCTCCGTGCTGTCTGGCCAGGTGGTGGAGATGTTCGACCGGCAGTTCCAGGAGCTGTACCTCATGTCACACAGTGTGAGCCTCAAGGGCATCCCTATGGAGAAGGAGCCGGAGCCAGAGCCTATCGTGCTGCCCTCTGTGGTCCCCCTGGTGCCCGCGGGCTCTGTGGCCAAGAAGCTCGTCAACCCCAAGTACGCGCTGGTCAAGGCCAAGAGCGTTGATGAGATTGCCAAGATCTCCTCTGAGAAGCAGGAGGCCAAGAAGCCCCTGGGGCTGAAGGGTCCAGCGCTGGCCGAGCATCCAGGGGACATCCCCGAGCTGCTGCCACCCATCCACCCAGGACTGCTCCACCTGGAGAGGGCCAACATGTTTGAGTACCTGCCCACGTGGGTGGAGCCAGACCCGGAGCCTGGCAGCGACATCCTGGGCTACATCAATATCATCGACCCCAACATCTGGAACCCCCAGCCCAGCCAGATGAACCGCATCAAGATCCGTGACACCTCCCAGGCCAGCGCCCAGCACCAGCTGTGGAAGCAGAGCCAGGACAGCAGGCCCCGTCCAGAACCTTGCCCTCCCCTAGAGCCCAGTGCCCCCCAGGACGGCGTCCCAGCTGAGAATGGCCTCCCCCAGGGGGACCCTGAGCCACTGCCCCCTGTGCCCAAGCCCCGGACAGTCCTTGTGGCAGATGTACTAGCCCAGGACAGCGGTGGTACTGGCTGGGCCCTGGAGCTCCCCAAAGAGGAGGCTCCCCAGAATGGGACAGACCATAGGCTACCCAGGATGGCAGGCCCAGGCCACGCCCCACTCCAGGGGCAGCTATCTGTGACCCAGGATGACCCCGACAGACTCGGGGTGGGGCTCCCCAATGGGCTGGATGGGGCGGAAGAAGAAGATGATGACGACTACATAACCCTCAGTGATCAGGACAGCCACTCAGGCAGTTCCAGCCGTGGGCCTGGCCCCCGACGGCCCTCAGTGGCCTCCTCTGTGTCAGAGGAGTACTATGAGGTGAGAGAGCACTCAGTCCCTCTCCGGAGGCGCCACTCAGAGCAAGTGGCCAACGGGCCAACCCCACCACCGCGCCGGCAGCTGAGTGCCCCCCATATAACCCGAGGGACCTTTGCTGGACCCCAGGGTGGCTCCCCGTGGGCCCAGAGTCGGGGGAGAGAAGAAGCAGATGTGTCGAGGAGGATGCAGGCCCAGCGCTCCCCAGACAAGGAGGCACAGGTGAGTCAGGGTCCCTGCACACCAGGGGACATGAGTCCCTCCCTGCCAGCCACCCAAGAGCCCGAGCTGCTGTCTTCTGGGCTACCGTGTCCCTGACTTTGATGACTTCAATTCCTTTGTTACAGATGGGGAAACTGATGAACAGGCAGGGGTGGGAACCATCCAGGGCCGTATGGAAGGCCATCATTAATACTGGGGACTCTTGGTCCCAGAGTCCTGAAAAGGCAACCTAAGGAAATGACGTTTCCCCACCCATACGTCTCCAATGCCTGTAGTTAGAGGATCTTGATGGCACCTTCCAGGTGGGTGACACAGTCCCTAGTTTGCAGATGAAACGGCGGGGCACAGGGACATTCGTTTACAGCCTTGAGGTCACGCAGCAGTAAGTGATACCTGTCCAGACCTTGTACCAAGCCACATCCATGTTAATCCCTTTGATTGTGGCCCTGAGGACCACTCTTCCCCACTCCCCAGGTTGGGGAACAGTTCACACCTATCCTTTGCCTCTCCTCCTGGTGACCTTTGCAGGACAAGGTCTCAGAACCCTGGGTGCCCTGCAGCCTGGGCTCAGTGCCCGGAGCCCGTCCTACCTGGGAACAGTGCGCGGCTAATCATGCCCGGCATGATGATCAGGCCCATGGGGAGCATCTTGAGGTAGCTGGCCAGGATGGAGCCCGCCTTGGCATGGTTCAGGTCCCGGGCTGACAGTGACCGCTGCACGATGACCTGGGGGTGGAGTGCGAGACGGAGTGAGTCCAAGCCTGAGGGACGCTTGTGTCAGGATTGGTCCTTGGTGGGCCTCAGGGAGTGGGCATGAGGCACGATGATGTCCCATTAGCCCCCGACCCGCCCAAAACAGCCACACTCAAAGCCCCAATACTGTCAGCAACCAACCAGGAGAGCTCGCTTCAGCAGGCCAGGCAGCGAGAGCCGAGGTACACTCATTCCCAGGGACTCAGTCCCCTGACCTGCCAATAGGGGAGGTGTGGATCCTGCCCAGCCCACCACCCCTGGCAATTGTCAGGGCTGGAGGAGACCCTGGGTGGGGTGGTATGGGGACACACACCCCTACCCTCATCTCCTGGACCCTCATGACAGCAGCTGGCACGTTCATGATGCCAGGAGCAGACATTGGCACCAACTGTATTTGCATGGCTGGCAGAGTTCAGGCGCTTTAAGACCTGGGGTTTGGAAAGCTTGCAGTTCAGTAGCAGAGGGAGGCTAGAAGCTACCTGAGGGCATCGGCCCTTCTGGGCGCCTTTGGCAAATCCTAACCAGGCCTTTCCAGATTTGCAGAATGGGAGGAGGGAGCAGTAATATGAACCCATAATGTCTGAGATCCCTCCCAGCACTGATATTATGATTCTACTTCAAAAGAGTTACTTTTTAAACAGCTTTATTGAGGTACTCACAGACTGTATAATTCCCCCAGTCACAGTGTACACTCCCATGGTTTTTAGTATGTTCGCAAAGCTGTACGACCTATGACTCTGAAACGTAAGTATTTTTCCTTTGCAGTTCCACAGTTTAAGTCACCACCTGCGACTCAGCAGCAGGAAGCCTCCATGATTTTAACTTACTTTCCAAGCTTGCTAGTTTAACGGATAGCTCCCAGCATCTACCCCTAAGCTGTGGATGTCACGGAAACATTAATTACAAAGGCTAGGAGTGTCTGCGGGCTGCAGCCTCTGAACGCAGGGCAAGCTGCTGTCCTTCCTGCTTCTCTGCCAGCTTTCTGTGACTTGGGAGAAGTCCTTGCCTCAGACTGGGCCTCAGCTGTCCCATCTGGACAATGAGAGTTAGATGCTGGTGATGTCTAGGTGCTTGGGAGAGAAGCATTTCCCCAAGACCCTGCATGTCGTTCTGCCATTGATGGGATATTTGCCTCTATATTTCCATCTGTACTTATGGCAGCTGGCCCTGGGACAGGTGCTGTCACCCCAGGTGGAGAAGCTGAGGCTCAGAGTTCCCATGAGCTGTGAGGCCTGCCAGTCCCCCTGAATAGGGCAGGGGCTTTCCCCACCCCTGACTGTCAGATAGCAAGGCTGGCCCCCCTACTCAGATGTCAGCAGGCCACTGCTCACCCCCACCTCCCAGCACTCGTGTCCAGTCCCAGCCAGACCCCCTTGCCTGAGGAAGCTCTCACTCCCTGAGTGGCCATTTCACCTTGGACTCCTCGTCTGCAAAATGAGGAGAGTTGTTGCAACGACTTAAGTGAGGCTGCTAGTGTAGCCGGCCAAGCCTGTCTCTGGCTCCTCAAGGGCCTCCGCTGAATGTGAGTTCCCTTTCTCAGTGAGTAAGTTTTGGGGTGTGGCCACTGGAGTCAGCACGCTGCCCACGAAAGCTGTGGCTGCTGTTATGACTGAGGTGGCTGCTGCTGACTAAGGCAGGGCACCCAGCCTGGAGCTGCAGCATCAGCAGGTGACAGAGCTGGCAGGACCCTGGGAGGCCTTCTGGTCTGTGCACCGCCCTGTTTCACAAACAGGGACACCAAGGCCCAGGGAGGGGCAGGGGCAGAGCCCAGATAGGAGCCCAGACCAGGGCTCTGTCCACTGGACCCTCTGCCTCTTCGTTACTGGTTTTGTTTCTGGTTAGAAAAATGCCACCCATTTGTCATGGATGAGCCAGAAGATAGTGAACGGCTCACCCCTGTATCCCAGCACTTTGGGAGGCCAAGGTGGGTGGATTACTTGAGGTCAGGAGTTCGAGACCAGCCTGGCCAACATGGTGAAACCCCGTTTCTACTAAAAATGCAAAAATTGGCCGGGCGCAGTGGTTCACACCTGTAATTCCAGCATTTTGGGAGGCTGAGGCGGGTGAATCACGAGGTCAGGAGATCGAGACCAGCCTTGCCAACATGGTGAAACCCCGTCTCTATTAAAAATACAAAAATTAGCTGGGCATGGTGGTGCGTGCCTGTAATCCCAGCTACTCGGGAGGCTGAGGCAGGAGAATTGCTTGAATCCAGGAGGTGGAGGTTGCAGTGAGCCGAGATGGCACCACTGTACTCCAGCCTGGGCAACAGAGCAAGACTCCATCTCAAAAAAAAAAAAAGCAAAACGTCCCATGGTCTCGGCACACAGAACTGCTGCCTCCCTTCTGACTAGACCGTGGGTGTCTTCGAGGGCTACCCTGGCCCCACAGCAAAGTGGAGTCAGACCCCTAGGTGCCCCTAAAAGTCCCCAGTGTCAGTGAGAGCCACACAGAGACCAGGAACCTCAAGCAGGACTAGTGCCTGGGCTTCTGGACCGAGGCCCCGCATCCAGCAGGCAGATCCAGCCCGAGGGGAGGAGGATAGGGAGATAGGGCAGAGGCCAGGCTACAGCCCGATGCTGGTTGGTGCCCTGAACCACCTGGGGTCAGCAGTGTCCCTCCTCCACCTCCCTGTGTGATCCTCTCTGGGTCTCGGGCTCTTTATCTGTATAGTGGGGCCCGCCCAACCCTGACCCCAAGGCCAGGACGTGTGCAGATTCATTTGGCTTTGATGGGAAAATCTCCTGACTGATGTTCCACCCAGAGACGCCCGTGCCATACCAGGCCCATGCTGCGTTGGGAGGAGGTGGGATGTGGCAGTTGTAAAGGGGCTCAGCCTGGCAGGGTACCACATGCCTACTGTGCCCTCCACGGCCAACCTTTCACCAACCCCTGGCCCACTGGGGCTGGCCGTCAGCCCTCCCAGGAGAACTGGGCAGATGGCTGCTGTAAGCCCATGTGTTCCCTGGAGAGCCCTCCCATGAGGCATGGAGGATGTGAGCAGCTTGTGAGCACAGCATGCCGGAGTACAAGGGGCCCTGCTTGAGGACCACGTGTTACAGATGGGGAAACTGAGGCCCAGCCTTCCAGAGCTTCTGATAGCTCCCAGCTGGGGTCCGTTGTTACTGTTGGAACCCAGGGAGGGTCTCTGGGCAGATTCTGATGGAGCCCGTGCTGCTTGGGAGAGGAAGAGCAGAGCTGGGAACCACGGAAAAGTCACTCCACTCTGGGTTCAGATCCGTCTCTGTCTTTGGCCTCAGTGCTCTGTCCTATGAATGGAGCTGGCGAGGCCTACTCCCAGGGGAGGCCCCATGGGAAAGGCTTGTGTGAGCGCTGTCATCGTTCATTCTACAGAGGCTGGCTGTGGCTGCCTTGTCCTGTGGTGGACCCGTGGGGCTGGGTCCAGAGGCATGGACAGTCGTGGGGCCTGTGCCCACTGCTTCCCAGACCTTTTCCCACACACATGCTCCCTGGAGCTGCCCACGGCCTTTGGGACAAGCAAAGCAAGGGCACCATCTGCTTCTGCCCAGAGACGGGAAGCAGTTCATCTGAGGTCACCTGGAGGGCTGGTGACAGGGTCTTGGGGGCGGGGCCAGAGTCACCCCCTGCACTCAACAGAAACTCCTGCATTGCTTTCGACAACCCCATTCAGCCCATTTCCAACCACGTCCAGGCTTGTGTCGAAATAGAGGAGGCTGGTGGGGGTGAGCTGGGAGGGAGCTGCCTTGCTACACCCACAAAGGGCAGGATTATTCTCATTACAGACATGGGAACTGAGGCATCGAGTGATTAAACCAACTGGCCTAGGCCCACTAGCTGGTGAATGGCAGAGCCAGGAGGCGAACCCGGGCCTGCTGGCTCCTGTATGCCTGAGCAGGGTCCTGTGCTGGGGCGGGGTTGGCCCTTCTCGCTCAGCCTCACTCTCTGCTCTCTCTCTTCCAGGCCCAGCAGTTTCATCATCACAGGGCCCCTGCCTCAGGGACTAGGGATAAAGACGGCTTCCCAGGACCCCCTAGGTACCGCTCTGCTGTTGATGGCGTCCAGAGCTCTACCAGAAACACGGGCCCAGCCGTGGCCGGCCCCCACCGCTGGCAGGCCAAGGGAGGCCAGGTATCCCGCCTGCTGCCGGGTCCTGGCAGCCCAAGACTGGCCCGAAATGCCCGCCCCTTGGCCGATGGCAAGGCCACCGAGGAGCATTCGAGTCCCTTCGGAATCCCATACTCCAAACTGTCTCAGTCGAAGCACCTAAAGGCCAGGACGGGTGGTAGCCAGTGGGCCTCATCTGATTCTAAACGGAGGGCTCAAGCCCCCCAGGACCACAAAGACCCCTAGCAGTCTGTCCCAGCCTGGAGCCACACCTTCGGAGGCCCCAGCCCGGACTCATGATGCGAAGGGCAGACGGGCCACCTGGGCCTACCAGAGCCCGCTGGGACGGCAGGAAGGTGGGATGGGCGGGAGACGTTGGCACTCACCTGGTCGGTGCACCAGTACCAGGTGGCCATGATGGTCAGGCCAAAGGTCATCCCAGTCCACGGCAGGTCCCCTGTGTGGGGGTCTCGAAACATGTGCATGGCGTCTGCACGCGGCAGGTGGCAGGTGGTGTTGGCAATGGTCCTGGAGGGAATGGCCCGGGCATAGGCTGCCTCCAGCTGCCCGTAACCGCCGATCTGGTCGAAAGCTGGAGGGGTCAGGGTGGGACAGGGACAATTTGGTGGTTGGGGGTCCTGACTCCCCGGGCTCCCCCTACCTTCATCTCACAGGAAACTTCCTGATGCACCAAACTAGAGTTTTTTTCCACCTCATCTTTCCCAGTGTTTGGAAAGGTGTGAGGGTAGAGGGGTTTTTTGTTTTTTTTTAAAGGTGTATTTGAATGATTATTTTATTTGTATTTAAAATAATACTATTAAGTGAGTATTTTGCACATGGGCACCCCAGTGTCCTGCTGGCCCGGCAGGAGTCACTGTTGGCCTCTGGACACCCATCAGCCTTGGGCAAGAGGTTCTCAGCCAGGTTTCTGATTGTCGATTCAAGGAAGCAACAGTAATTTTTCTTGACATTTGAGGACCTTCCTGAGGCTTCTAAAGTGTTCGTCCTGATCACCTGAAGGGTGTGATTTTAGCAGAGCTGAGAGTGGCTGGTGGTGTCGTGGCCCCAACCCCCTGAGGCACAGAGAAGAGGGAGACAGAGGTCCAGAGAGGGATGGGGCCTCCATCAAGACCACACAGCCCATCTGGCGGGCTCAAGCCGGGCCTTTTTCCTCTCCAGTCCAGAACGCCTCACTGTTCCTGTCTACCTCGGGGTCAGGGCCTGGCATGGCCAAGCCCTGGCCCGTCTGTGTCTGTCACTCCCCTCCCTTCCAGACTGGGCCTGGCTGCTGGGATCCCTCTCATGAGGTGGGTCCTAGGGACACTAGAGCCCCTGGTCTGAGAGGAAGAAGCCTGGATGTAGGAAACTAGTTTCCACCCCAGGCCCCACTCCCTAGCCTTTTCCAAGTGGGACATGGAAGAGGCAGCCTGCCGCCTGGATGCTGGTCCCCCAGCATCACCGTTTCCGTGGAGCTCAGGCCAGGCTCTGTATTCAGACCAAGGGTTCGTGTGAGGCTCAGAGCAAATGAACAAGTGCCATTCAAGGGTTAGAAACTGCTCAACCACAGGGTCCCAGTGTCTGGAAGAGTCTTTAGACATGTGTTCACTCTCTGCGGGGTCCTCCTGGCTCTGCTTACATACTTCCAGGGACGGTGAGCTCTGTCTCTCTCCGGGCAGCCCTGTGAGCTTCCTATCTGTTCCAGACTAGTATTGCCAATATCTCCAAGCTCTCTTCTTTCCTCCTTGGCCTTTGTCCTGCAGAAGGTGGCATCACCTCTTGGGATTCTGTACATGCTTTTAAACAATTGGAGGAGCCGCCCAGGCAGTTTTGTGGTCTCCTGGTTGTGTGCCTTCACACCCGCCTACAGCCCCACCTCACCATCGAGCGCTGAGCCAATGTGGGTGTGGCTGGTCCTGAGTTCCTGAGTCAGCTCCTTGCCAGGGCCAGAGCTGGTAACAGCGGGGCAGTAGGGTGGGCAGCCTCTCCCAGCCAGGGCAGTCACTGAGGGGCCAGCAGTGGGGCTGACTGTCTAGTGGCTCAACCTCCTGAACCCACCCACCCCCAGCGATGCTACCCAGAGCCTCAACAGCATGAGTCCTGCAGAGTGCCGGGCAGTGCCAGACTCCACAGGGCTTGCTGTGGGGATAGCCCCGCCATGGCCACAGACCTTGTCCTCACCTTTGATTGTCAGGATGACAGCCCCCACCACCATGATGAGCGTCTGCAGGGCATCCGTGTAGATTACAGCGGCCAGGCCCCCTGCCAGTGGAAGCAAGGTTGCTGGAGAGGGCACTGGCCCCAGGGAGGAAGGACACAGGGAGGAACTTCTGGGGCTCCTGCTGGGGCCACTTCCTGGGCTGCTCCCTCGGGCCTGTAGGGAGAGGTGGCCTTCTGCCCCCTTTACACGTCCCCTGGGTGGATCTCCCTGCTGTGGGCGCCGTACCTGCGATGGTGTACAGGGCCGTGATGCCGAGCGTGAGGATGGTGGAGAGGTAGAAGTTCCAGCCCAGGCAGATGTGCACAAACAGAGCCCCCGCATACAGGTCCAGCTGCACAGGGAGAGAGGCTTGTGTGGGTGGCTGAAGTCGCTGTTAGACCCAGGGCTCCAGCAAGCCACTCCCTAGGTGACCCCAGGCAAGGCCCTCTCTGGGCCTCAGTGGCCTGTAGATGAGGAAGGGAGACCCCCACTCGCCTGTCTGCCTGCATCACGGGGGCCATTGTGAGGTTGGGGGAAGAACTGGCCATGGAGAAGCTGCAAGCTTGTGTGGATGTCAGGGGACGTTACTGTTACTAATAAAGTCCAAAGTGGCCAATGCCCTTCCTGAAAGCAGCGTTGTTATTGAATCTGGCCCCTTCCCCAGGGGATAAGAGGTGGAGCCCTGTCCCCTCGGTTCCCAGGGGGACCTTGATGAGGAGTTTGTGAGGAGTCCGTGAAGACCAGTAGGACTCAGGAAAAGTGTGTGCTGGGCGGGCCAGGAAACAGAGGGTCAGCCTTGCTTCCTGCCCCCACCCCCCGGTGGGTTTGGAACTAAAGCCTGGAGTGGCTCAGAGGCTGGGTCTCAGGCTGAAGCTGGTCTCCCACTGACTGAACACAGCCCCTGCCCTCGCAGAAGCTAGGACTGCTCCTCCTAAAGGCAGGAATGTTAGCCTGGAGGCCAACCTCAGCCTGGCATGGGCCTCACAGACCAGAATCCCACCCTCCACCTGGCAGTGGGGGCCCAGAGAGAGGGAAGGCAAGACCCTGTTGTCTGGGACATGAGCTGGTAACAGGCTTCATCTTGCTCCACCCCGAGTTCCTAAATCTACCGTTCTGCTTTGACTCAGGAGATGCGAGATGAGCCAACACACAGCCTCTGGGGCCAGGAGCTTCCTGAGAAGGCTGGAGACCTGCGCTTCCTAGTGTGGGGACACATCTGCACGAGGCTCAGGAAGTGCAGGCCCCAGGCCCCTTTGAGCTCCCCCAGGCAGGGATCCCTGCCTCCCCCAGTCCCAGGGACACAGGGCCCAGGCAGGATGGGATCTGGCTCCAAAGCCTGTGCTTCCTGTACCTCTCCCTCCAGGCGCCTCTCAACCTGTCTTAGAGAGACCAGCCAGTTTGGAAACTGGCCAGGGGCTTTCAGTAGAGCCTCGGCCCCTTCTGGTCCTTATCTTTGGTTCTCTGTGTGTGTGTGTGTGTGTGTGTAGGAAGGGCAGGTGGTTCAGGGGAAGGTGTGGTGGGGGGTGGGGGCTTGATCTGCCTCCAGCCCAAGCAGAGAAGTGTAGAGGTGCTGAATATCAGAGCAGGACGGTCTCTTCAAGCCGCTGCCCCATCAGACTAGAGGAGAAACTGAGGCCCCAGCAAGGGAAAGGACGTCCCCAAAGTCAACCCCTAGTAGGTATCAGAGATTGGAGTTGCCAGGAGTGGGAAGGTCAAGAGGGACCAGGAGGCTTCTAGAAGGCCCACTACAGCAGCCTGCAAGCTTCTGTCCTAAAGTCACCGCTCCAGACTCCCGCTGGACCCTGGCTGCCTCTGGACAGAACCCGGGTCTGTGTGCCTGGCCTCTGGCTCTAGCCACGCCAGACATATAGCCCTTCATCCCATGCCCAGAACTTAGCTGCCTCCAGGTCTCTGCTCACCGGCTCACCGGATTCCCTCTGCCCTGGAACATCCCAGCCTCTGCTTCTCATCGTTCAAAACACAGCCATGCCAGCCCCTCTGCTCTTTGAGTTTATTGTTCATGCACCCTCCCTCCTGCCTGCCTCCCTCCTTCCTGCCCTTCCTTCCACGGCGGCAGGCCCCAAAGACTGAAGAGAAGTCCCGCAGGTGCAGGAACGGCAGGAGCAAGGGTGTGCGGTGGGCCTTTCACTGCTGTCTCCCCTATAGACTGGACCCTACGTGGCATCCAGTGAAGGTTTGCTGCTGCTGCTGCTGGAGGCCCAGTAGGTGTGCAGTTGCCTGCAACTCCCAGACAGCCCCCGGGTGAGGAAGTCAGACAACACCTAGCCCTATCCAACCCCTCCTGCAGCCTGAGCACTCTTCTCTGTGGGCCCGGGCAAGCTTCAGCCTGACAGACGCCAAGAGCCACACAGCCCTGGCTCTGTGTCCGGTCTGCTGTGTCCCAGCCGCATGGCTTTGAGCAGGCCACTTTACCCCCTGAACCTCAGTGCCCCTGATCTGTGACATGGGGAAGTGGGTGTGGAGCACACATAGCCAGTCACCCAGCCCCTCCATACCTGCCGGCACCCTGCAGCCCCTCCACCCCCTCACCTTGGCACGGAATGGCCCCTGGGACCATCTGAGATAGCCAACTCTCCTCTGTGCCTCCCTCCCCAGTGACCCAGGAGCAACTGCAGCCCGGCCCAGAGTCTATTCCAGCTCCTAGAAGGCACAGATGGGGAGGTCAAGGCCTGAAGAGCAGAGGAACTTGCCCATGGAGGCAAAACACTGAGAACAAAATCAACAAGACTGCACCCGGGAACGGCATCCCGAGGAAGGGCCACTCCTGGGGCACAGGTCAAACCAGGACCTCACTCTAGGCCGCCACCCATGGGGCTGGAGCTACTGGTCCACTCCCAGCTCTGTTCAGAGGCGCCCGCCTGCTCCTGTGATGTGGCCCCACACTCACCCTGCACAAAGTGTCCTGTCCACCTCCCTGCTCCTTCCTCCCCACGCAGGACCCCCACAGCTCCTCCCTTCATCTTGTACCCAGAAACCCTGCCGGTCCTTCACAGCCCTGGCTGTCCCCCAGGATGCCCTGCTGACTGGCCACTTTTGACAAGTGACAAATGTGCCTCTGGGCCACATGCCGCCCTGATGTCTTTCAGGTCTCCCCCATCCTACCAGGTAGGTGTGATAATCCCCTCCACTCCACAGTGGGGAGCACCTGGGCATGGAGAAGTGAAATGACTTTGTCAAAGTCCCACCGTCCTAAGAGGTGGCCCCAAGGACGTGCCCTTCCTACTGGCTGACCCCGGGGCCTGCGAGGTCCTGGGGAGGAACCTCATGGCAGGGGCCCTCCCAGAGAGCGCATGCTGTTGGCAGAAGGCCACTCCTCTCCTGGCACCATCTAGCCATCACTGGGGGCTTGCAAGGGCGGAAGCCCCGTACACAGGGAGGGAGCAAGGCTGAGAGAGGACGTGTGGACCATGTGGTGCAGGATGGGGCTGATCTGGTGGGCTCTGCACAGCTGAGAACCCCAAGCTCCCATGTGCATGAAGGAGCCTCACTCCATCTCCAGTCGATGGAAACTGTTCACTCCAGGACATGTCTGAGGCCGAAGAAGGCTGGAGACTGGCCCTGGTGCTCCGGCTGCCCTGTCCTGGGCCCCTGCCCTGCCCCCTCTCGGCTACCTTCCCACATGGAACTTTTTTTTTTTTTTTTTTGAGACAGAGTCTCGCTCTGTTGCCCCCGCTGGAGCGCAGTGGCCGGATCTCAGCTCACTGCAAGCTCCGCCTCCCGAGTTTACACCGTTCTCCTGCCTCAGCCTCCCGAGTAGCTGGGACTACAGGCGCCCGCCACCTCGCCCAGCTAGTTTTTTGTATTTTTAGTAGAGATGGGGTTTCACCATGTTAGCCAGGATGGTCTCGATCTCCTGACCTCATGATCCGCCCGTCTCGGCCTCCCAAAGTGCTGGGATTACAGCCTTGAGCCACCGTGCCCGGCCCCCACGTGGAACTTGTATCTCCCATCCTTGGTGGGACAGCAGAGAAGCTGGGCTGAGCCCTGCACTGACACTAGGAGTTGACTATCATTTCTCCCAAATCTTTTTGTTGTCCTCTACCCCTGAGCCTTGCCCATTTCCATGGAGGCCGTCACCATCCTCCGGGGCTCCCCCTTGCCACACTCCCCGCCTGTGACCCACAGGCCGCTACTATGGATTCCCTCTCCAAAACACACACCCACTCCCCAAAACCTCTACTGACCCCATCCTAGGCCCAGTCCCCTTGCCAGCCCCTCACCGGTCCCTCCTGCACTTGGCTTGTGCAAGGAAAACCTGGGGCTCTGCATTTCTGTTTTGTTTTTGTTTTAAAAAAAACCTCCGCCTCCCGGGTTCAAACGATTCTCCTGCCTCAGCCTCCCTAGTAGCTGGGATTACAGGTGTGTGCCACCACGCCTGGCTAACTTTTTGTATTTTTAGTAGAAACAGGGTTTAACCATGTTGGCCAGGCTGGTCTCGAACTCCTGACCTCAGGTGATCCCCCAGCTCGGCCTCCCAAAGTGCTGGGATTACAGGTGTGAGCCACTGCGCCCGGCCAGGTTCTGCATTTCTACCATTCCAGGAGTAAGGTGCACCCCCACCCGGCAGAGGCCCTGCCCAGAGGCTCTGAGTGGTCCCCACTGCCTCTCTGCTCTTGGTCATCGCTACCCCTCCATATCCCTACGCAGCCCCAGCCCCACCAGCTTCCCGCTCCTGGACTTGCCAAGCTCCTTCCCTGAGGCTGCAGCAAGGCTGGCATTTCCACCCCAGACTGCGCTGTCTCCAGTGAGCCCAATCCCTGATCCTGTCTCCCCATTTCTGCCCCACCCCCCTACCGTGTTTGCTTCTTTTATCACACTTTTACCATTTCTTATGATTTCTTATGATTTCCTTGGTCTGTTTCCTTACCCCCTCTGTCTAGATGTCTAGAAAGCATCTATGGCTGTGGGGGGCTCACCCGGGGCCTGGCACACAGTAGGTGTACAGTAAGTAGGCGCTTTCCATAGGGCAGGGAGTGGCAGCCCAGAACCCGCAGGCCAGGCCCAGTCATGCCTTGCAGTATTGTCTGCAGGCACTTTCAGGCCCCAGGGGCAGAGTTGAGGAGTGAGGACAGAGACCATGTGGCCTGCGAAGCTGAAAATATTTCCTCTCTGGCCCTTTGCAGAAAAAACGAGCTGACCCCTGGCATAGATTCTCTCACCTAGACCCACGAGGCATGCGGGCCACCCTGGGGATGCGCCAGTGAGCAAGGGAACCAACAGAGGACACAGCCAGCAGGCATTCCCGGCCCATGGGGGTAGAGCGAGGTAGGGGGCTGGCCCGCGGGGACGGGGGTGAAGATGGAGGGAATGGAAAAACTTGAGGGACATGAGGGAGCCACATGGATATCCAGGCAGAAGGTTCCAGGCAGAGGCCACAGCAAATGCAAAGGCCTCGAGGTAGGAACATGCCTGGTGTGTCCATGGAAGCGCAGAGGCCAGTGTGGCTGGAGCGGGTGGGGGCAACAGGGCGAGGGAGGGGTGAGGTCAGTGAGGGCGCAAAGCGACCCCGTGGAGGACCTTTACTGCAAGTGGCGTGGGACATCGCGCCCGGTTCCAGAGGCTAAATGACTGGCTAGAGCCCCACAGTGATGGAGCTGGATTTGGGTCCCTTCGTCTGAGGGTCAGGGTGGTGCTTCTCCATGCCCTGCCATCGCGGGTCCTCCTGTGGGCCAGTGCCCCTGCCTGAGGGATGGCAGCAGGCACCCTAAGATCTCTGTCTACACAGGCAGCGGCTGGGACAGGTGCTGGACGCGCAGACACATGAGGCATTCCTGGGGCACAGCCCAGTGAGGTCAGGACCTCTGGGGACCGCCTGGGCGCGTGCACTTCAAACAGCCAGGGTACCAGTCCTCTCGCAGCCAAGCCCAGCAATTAGCGTTCCTCAAGCTTCGGCCTCTGCTTCATCCAGGCAGCCCCAGCATTGGTTCTGAAGCCCAGCCTTGATGTGAGTGGGTGCTCACTGCTTTATAGTTGGGTACACTGAATCACTCCCATCACAAAGTGGAGTTTGAAGGGCCACGTCCTGGCTGCTTCAGGGCAGCAGGGCCGAGGTTGGGCCTCTTGGCTGGGAGGCACAGGCCTGGGATCTAACAGTAGTCCCTGCCTGACTCGCTGTGACCTGGACCTCAGTTGTGTCATCTGTAAACTCGGAGAGCCGCACAAGATTGTCCCTAAGATCCTCTCACTTCACTGAGCTCTTCCTTCTGCTTTTTTTTTTTTTTTTTTTTTGGAGACTCAGCTCACTGTAACCTCCACCTCCCCAGTTCAAGTAGTTCTCCTGCCTCAGCCTCCTGAGTAGCTGGGACTACAGGCGCACGTCACTACATGTGGCTAATTTTGTGCATTTTAGTAGAGATGGAGTTTCACCGTGTTGCCCAGGCTAGTCTTTGACTCCTGAGCTCAGGCAATCCGCCCACCTCAGCCTCCCAAAATGCTAGGATTACAGGCGGGAGCCACCGTGCCGCCCGCCTCAGCCTCCCAAAGTGCTAGGATTACAGGCGCCAGCCACCGTGCCGGCCCTCTCTGCCTTTCTAGAAGTCCCGCCCAAGCCATCCACTTTCAGGACCCTCCGAGTGTGAGGTATAAGCTCCACCGCAGAGAAGCCAGCAGGGTGAAACCCTGTGCCCGCGGCTCCGCCTCCCTCCCTCACCAGACCTACCTGGGGCCTCCTCACAGGCCTGGCCTCCTCTTGTCTCTCTCCCCTCCAGTCCACCCTCTGGAAGATTCCAGAGAGCACAAAGTACAAACACGACCATGTCACTATCCTAGTTAAAACACCACCCCTGTTCCACCTGGGCTCCCTGGATACTTCAACCTCTTGCAATTAAACCTCCCTCACCTCATCTCTCACTGCAGGCCAGACGCTGAAAGCTGGCAGCTAAGAGGCAAATGTGGCAACGGGCCTGTCGTGTGTGAATGCTGAGGCATGTTCTCTGGTTTGCTTTTGTCCCCACTACTGCCTATTACTCACTCCCAGCTTCTCCCCACACTGTTTTTTATCTGGTCCCCAGAGGTGTCTGACTTAGTGATCCCTACAGTCTAGGGCTCCAGACCCGACCACCCCGAGACACATCCTGCCTCTTCTCACCTCTCTCTTTGTCATTTGCTCCTGTCCCCCATCGGCATCCCTGTTTCCATCAGAGCCCAACTCAAATGCCACCCCCAGCAAGCCCCGCTGTGTCCTCTTCTGAGCTTCACGCCTGTCCCATGCATCCATCTATTTCTCACTGCAGTGCGAGCCCCTGGCAGGCCGGGGCCAGGTCTTGTTTATTTCTGTATCTCTGGCTTCCAGGGAGGTGGCTGGCATGGGGTGGGGTGGAGATCAAGAAATGTGGGAGAGGAAGGGAAAATATGAGTGGAAAACTCTAAACTCAGCCTTAAGGGCAGGCCAAGGCCAAGTCCCTCCGGACTCTAAAGGGCTCCCAGAGAAAGCAAACCTCCTACAGTACGCCAAGGGCATCTGGCGAAGACTGTGGCCCAGGGTTTGCTGCTGGCCACCCCCGAGACCTGCCCACAAGAAGGATGAGACACTTTGGGAACCCCCTCAGAGTCACCCAGCAACACCAGTGCAGATGGAGGCCCAGTGGGGGCTCTGGATGGACCCTTTCAGGGCCCTCTTTCCAGGTAATCCTGCCCACAGCTCCTGGTTGACCAGCGAGGCCTCTACCTCTCCTGCGCCTCCATTCCCTCCACTAAATCGACGCCTCTTCTGGGCTTTCCTAGTCCCAGAGCTGAATGAAGACGGCCCAGGAGGCCGTTTGCCTCTGAGGGAAAGCCGGGCCTCACAGAGCACTTCCCACAGACACAGCAGCCCTCACTGGCCTCACAGGAACCCTGGGAGACAGGGTCAGCTGCCCCTCCTTACAAGGGAGGAGCCCCAGGCACAGGGATGCTTGGGGGTCTCAGGGGCTAGTGTCGGCCCCCTCAGAATCAGGCAGCCCCAGGACTCAAGCCCCTTCAGAAGCCTGGGGCTGGATGAAGCTGGCTGCCCCCAGGGACTTGGAGTGAGAGCGAAAGGCCTGGTGTTGCCACACGGTCACCAGGAGGGTTGGGATAATCTTCCCTTCCGTGGGCCTTAGTTTCCCTCTCTGTAAAGTCAGAGGCTTGGACAAGATGAGCTCTATGCTTCTTCTGACCCTGACATTTGAGGTGTGTTCCTGCTCTTAATATGCCAGTGGGGCAGGGCCAGGCCCCCAAGGATAGGTGTCAGTGATGGAGCCCACCAGCCTTGGGGTGAGAGGCAGGTCAGCTCAGTGCAGACCAGACAGGGCCAAGACCACGTGGGCTTTTGGCGCCCCCTAGTGGGAGGTCCTGGCTCATCCCCGTGTCGGCCCCAGTACTGACCTCAGACCATCCTAACACCCTGCGTCAGAGCAGAAGTCAGCAGGTTGTGTTCTGTCCCTGACTAGGGAACTCTGGACCACCTGTCCAGACTTGCGGCGTGACCCCAGGTAAGTCATTGCCCCTCTCTGGGCCTCAGTCTGCCCAGCTGTGAAACAAGGCAGAGATGAATGAGAAGACGTCAGGTCCACTTGATTGAGGGTGTTTCCAGGCTACGCCAGCAGGGAGCGGGGGGCAGCTCACCGATATCTTGGTGAAGACAGACAGTAGCAGGGACAGGACAGACAGGTACATGCGGATCCGCTGGCCTCCATAGCGCTTCTGAATGTACTCAGGTAAGGTGACGATCTGGGGAGGCACATGGGTAGGGGCTAAGCATCCCCCAGATGATGCCCAGCGCTCCAGACAGGGCCTGTCTCAGTCACTCTGCCTCTCCCACCGCCACAAAGCAGCTGTGAGCCTCTCAAGGGCAAGGCCCAGGCACTGACCCCTTACAGCCTCAGCACCCGGCCTTGAAGCCCAGGCTGCTCCAGCTGTGTCCTGCGGGTGTCAGGCAGGGGAGTGGCAGGCTGAGATCCCAAGACTGGCTCTTTAGGGCCGAGACGAGGAATGGATTGGAGGGGCCGTGGCTGGAGACAGAGTGACAAGTTTAGAGGCTGTTTTGACAAATCCAGGTGCACTATGATGAGGCTGGATGAGGGAGGTGGCTGTGAGGGGCAGAGCTGGGGACAGGCTGAGAGACATCCGGGAAGTGGAGTTGACTGGACTTAGTGGCTGCATGGCCAGGGCTGAAGGAGTGGGCAGAGTCGAAGATGGTGCAGCCAGGTGTGCCATTCAGGCATGCCACCCAGGTGTACAGCCCAGGTATGCCACCCAGGTGTGTGGGCCAGGTGTGCAAACCAGGTGCATGGCCCAGGTGTGCAGCCTATGTGCCCTGCTGGATGGGACATTGTTCCTGAGATGCAGCACTCAGGGCCATGGAAAGCAGCCAACACAGCACCCAGGCTGAGGTTCGAGGGGACCCACCTTAGTGGGTTGATACAAATGTTAGTTGGGCTAATAGCAAACCCAGCCCTAAGAGTTCACCAAGTCCTGATGTGAGGCCACGGTGGTCCTGCCCATTACTACCATCAACTTGGACCAAGGCCCAGCCCCCCGGTTGGAGGCCTCATGAGTAGACTCACCTCTGAGGAGATGTAGATGGGCACGAACACCCACGCCAGTGCCAGCAGCACATACGTGGCCTGTGGGGACAGAGGCAGGTGAGGACTGCAGGTGCAGCTCCCACAGCTCTGCTCCAGAGACACAGCAGACAGAGCCGTCTGGTGGCCTGGCTTCCCCCCGCTCCTCCTGACTTGCCATGAGATCCTGGGTGGCTCCTTCCCCTCTCTGAGTCTGGGGAAAGGCCCACAGCTCCCTGCCAGTCATGCCATCCAGCACCTTGGTATTCTGAAGACAGGATATGGCCCAGGTGGGCTCTGGGCACTGCACAGAGCCCACCTGGACATGGGCTGACACCAGCCACTGGGAGCTGCCCCCCTCCAGGGCTGTGGCCGCACCCTGTGCCCTGGCTCTCCCACAGGCTGCCTGTCCTCCAGGACTCACATTCCACTCGAAGCCTGCCACGGCCAGACCTCCTGCTGCGCCTGAGCCCGCCAGTCCAATGAAGAGGCCAGAGCCCTCGCTGCTGGCGAAGAGGGAGGCTCCGATCTGAAGGAGAGAAAGGGAAACGCATCAGAGGCAGGCTCCCTGCACCGGCCCCATCCTGGGCCTGACAGCTTCTCCTTCATCCTCACAAACCTAAGCGGCATCCTAGCCCCACCTCACGGATGAGGAGCCCAGGGTGTGAGTTCTACCCATGACTAGCTGCACAGCTAAGGAGTGGATGTAAGTTTCAGACTCCAAAGCCCCTGCCCCTTACACAATTTCTAGCAGCTCAGACCTATGCCCGTCACTTAGGGACCTCCTGCCCGCCTCCGGCCTGTTCCACTGAATTGGACTGGCTCAGAGGTGCAGGTGCCAGGTGACCTAGAGATCAGACACAGCCCCACGGACAAAATGGGGTGTGTGAGAAGTCAGGGTGCACTCACCGGCCACCACGTCATGTCCCGGCCTGCTAGGAAGTAGCCATTCACCGTGTTCCTGCTGGCCCGACAAGAGGACTGCAAGAAGAGAAAGACGAGACAGAAGTTGGAAGCCCGTGCACTGCTGGTGGGAAGTAGAATGGGACTGCTGCTGCGGAAACGGCGTGGCAGCTCCTCAAAAAGTTACGCATAGAATCACCATATGACCCAGAAGTTCCACTCCTAGGTGCATGTCCAAGAGAACTGAAAATACACATCCACTCAAAAACTTGTACACGAACGTTCATAGCAGCATTATTCATGATAGCCAAAAGTGAAAACAACCAACATTTCTGTTGACTGATGAGTAAATAAACAAAATGTGGTGTATCCTATATAAAGGAATATTATTCAGTCTTCAGTAGGAATGACGTTCTGCTGGGTGCCGTAGCTCATGCCTGTAATCCCAGCACTTTGAGAGGCTGAGGCAAGCAGATCACTTGAGCCGAGCAGTTTGAGACCAGACTGGGCAACATAGTGAGACCCCAGGTCTACAAAAAATGCAGGGTGTGGTAGCACACACCCGTGGCCCCAGCTACTTAGGAGGCTGAGGTGCGAGAATCACTTGAGCCCAGGAGGTGGATGATGCAGTGAGCAGTGACTGTGCCACTGCACTCCAGCCTGAGCAACAGAGTGAAATCCTATCTCAAAAAACAACAACAGATATCTTGGGAATGAAACTCTGACGCACGCCCAACTTGGATGGACCTTGACAACACGATGCTTCATCAACAGAGACAGACACAAAAGGCCACAAATTGTATGATTCCATTTATATGAAATGTCCAGAACAGGCACATTTATAGAGATAGAAAGCAGATGAGTGGTTGCCAGGGGCTGGGGGGCAGGAATAATGGTGCTTGACTGCTTATGGGGACAGGGTATCCATTTGGAGTGATGAAAATGTTTTGGAGCTAGCTACAGGTAATGGTTGCCCAACATTGCAAATGTACGAAATGCCATGAATTGCACACTTTAAAATGGTTAAAGTGGGCAAGCGTGGTGTCTCACGCCTGTAATCCCAGCACTTTGGGAGGCCGAGGTGGGTGGATCACGAGGTTGAGATCGAGACCATCCTGGCCAACATGGTGAAACCCTGTCTCTACTAAAAATACAAAAATTAGCTGGGCGAGGTGGCAGGCGCCTGTAGTCCCAGCTACTCGGGAGGCTGAGGCAGGAGAATTGCTTGAACCCGGGAGGTGGAGGTTGCAGTGAGCCGAGACCGCGGCTGCCCAACTCTGCACTCCAGCACTGCCGAACAGAGTCGAAGAGCCTGCCCCTAAATAAATTAATTAATTAAATTGTTTATTTTATTATTTTATTTATTTATTTTTTTGAGACGGGAGTCTGGCCTCTGTCGCCCGGGCTGGAGTACAGTGCCGATCTCAGCTCACTGCAAGCTCCGTCCCCGGTTCCCGCCATTCTCCTGCCTCAGCCTCCCGAGTAGCTGGGACTACAGGCGCCCGCCCGCCTCGCTGGCTAGTTTTTGTATTTTTAGTAGAGATCGGGTTCACTGGGTTAGCCAGGAATGGCATGATCTCCCACTCCGTGATCACGCCCGTCTCCCTCCAACAAGTGCTGGGATTACAGGCTTTGAGCCCCACCGCGCCCGCCCTACAAATGTTAAATAATGACTTGTATATTATGTAAATTTCATCTCAACTTTATAAAAAGAAGCAGAAGCAGTCAGTTCCTTACCCACGTATTCCCACAATGCCCTTGGTTTCGGGGAGTGGGTAGAATTTTGTCCTCCCATGTAGATGGAAGTAAAAAATCCTGCAAACAGAAATGTCTGGGAGTAAAAATCCCTGTCTCTGCTTCCATGGCCATGGTTACCTTGGGCAAGTTACTGAACGCAGGTGCCTTGTTTTTCTCTGTAACATGGTCCTAAAAGTCTTCTTCATGAATAATTTGCTTTTTGTTTTTCTTTGACAGAGTCTCACTGCATCACCCAAGCTGGAATGCAGTGACAGATCTCAGCTCACTGTGACGTTCACCTCCTAGGGTTCGACGCACTTCTCCTGCCTCACCCATCCAGGTAGCTAGGATGTACAGGTGCAACACCAACCACAACCTGCTAATTTTATGTGTTTTGGTAGAGAGGGGTTTCGCTTAG